TGAAACAAAATTGAAGTTGTTGGTTATAATATTAAAAAAAAAATTCCAATTAAATTTTGAAATTCAAACCATTCACGTGATGGTCATTGCAAAATCACGTGTACTCGTTCGGTGTAGCAATAATTCTCGCACAAAAGACTCGTTTACTTACTGTGGATACCATCAGTCAGTATTACATCGAAGTGCTATTACATTTTCTAACGCCTGCGTAATACGTCGTACGCGTGTTCGTGTTGTTCGATATCGACGCGTCAATATGCGAGTTTGATCCGCGACGGATCGAACGGAAAGTATAAAATTTATTTTTCAAGACCGTTGAAGCTACGTACATGTCTCCCCCCCCCCCCCATTCGTTTTAATTTTTCAACTTTTTCCAACGCCAATATTTAGTGTTCCATTCCCTCCGATTACTATCACCACTTCCAGAATTCCTGCTCAACTTCCGCTCCCTCAAAAATCAAAAAACTATGGGTAGGACTGGCGACACGTGTCAAACAAACAAGATTGAACAGGAATTCCAGAATTGGTGGCAGGGATCGGCAGAAACGGAGTACTAAATATTGGTGTTGGAAAAATTTGAAAAATGAAAATGGGTGGGGGTGGGGACATGTACGTGTTGTAGCTTTCGATTCTCGCACGACACGCCCGAACATTTGTACGTTTGTAGATCACGCGAGTAGACGTTGATCGACGCAGCTGTCTGACATTTGAACGGCTCCGCCGAAGAGATTTGTTCAAGTGGCCCGTGGAGAAAAAAGTTGGCAACCTCTGTTGTAAAACAGCACTTTGCAATGGTCAAACTCATCGTATAAAACGCAGTACGATAAGTTTGATCACTACCGCAAATGACTATCGCTGTTGTTACTCATTACTCTTAGTTTTTCTTTTTTTTTCTAAAATGGCCGATGGCCAACGTGTTTTTGACAATTCCACTGATATACGGTAAAACAGTATCCGTAAAACAGTATCAGTAAAACACTAAACAGTGGAGTGGTGTCGTATCCACGCAGTCTGCTGTGCTGTCGGAAAAATGTATTCGTTCGTTTCTCAATGAACTCTTGTGCCGCACATTATCGATGGATTGCAGTGACCGAATGTTAGATATAATAAATGTAATAGGTCTGCAGAACCGTGAAATTTATACTGTACACAATGCTAATATTTGTGTTATTATTTTTTGCAATAGTGGTTCGAATTGTTGCAAATGGTTTTTATTGTGATGTGTACTTCAGTGTATCTGAATTGGTACGAACCTATCAATACGTTTTATTGATAAATGGATTATTTTTAAGAAAAATGCGCATCAGTAGTAAACATTTAGGTTTTTAATATTTAGTACTTATAGAACTGTAGTCGAAATGTTTACAAATTATTTCAAAGACTCATTTAAAGTGTTGACAGTTACATTTTTATCAATGATCATAAACATCCATTTTTTTTGCATCAAAATAATCATCGTTTACTCGTTTTGAATGGACGTAAAGACAAAAAAACGAGACGCAAAATATCGAAATGCATGAATCGAAATCGATGCATTTTTACGTAATTTCACCACTCGATCTGTCTTAGATTTTTGCATAGTGCTTTTGCGGTTGACGATTCGTGCGAGGGTGTATACTGATCGGAGACCACTTGTGCAACCGATTGTGGGACTGGTACACGATTCGTACGGAATCGTGTCGTGTACAATCAGGCACGTAACCAGACATATTTCTATAAGGGGGCCAACATTTTTTGGCCCCTTTCTGTAGTTGTGTTTATCAAATGTGCGTTCGATATCCGTATTTGGAATTCCTAGTTTTCAATCTATTAATACACGTACTATTGTCTTATCTCAAATTGTTAAGTGACGAATATTTATAAAATAGAATCTCAGAATTTAATTTTTGTTATACGATCATTAATTATATGGAATGGGTGCATGTAAGCTCCGCCAGAAAAATAAAAAAGGTAAAATTGGGTTCATGTAAACTCCGCCACTAAAAAAATGCAGGTAAAATTGAATACATCTAAACTCCGCCAGTGAAGAAAATCGAGTAGTAGTATAAAATTAATATGTAATATGTAAGTAATAATAAGTGAATAATATAATTATAATATTATATAATATCATACTTCCATTTTATTTCACCAGACGCATATTTTATATTTTGGTTAGACTTGTAGTTGTTAAATAAAACCAATAAATTGCCTCGTTGACCAGTAATTAATTTTATATTATTACTTTGTTGCGACATATTTCGTTCAATATAAAATACGAGTATACACGGAGACACGCAGACGAATGATTACGTTCGTTAAAGTATACTTAACGTATACCTTACCTACTTCCGATATTATCATTGGAAATACTAATTTCACATAATATGATATGAAGATAAAATTATTAATAAATGAATCAATGTGAATATATATCCACCATGAAATGAATCGAACCATGACAATAGTTTTATCAATTTCGACATACATCATCGCAATAGATGTCAACGTATTTAATGTGAGAAGACATGTGGAAATGAGCACGAGCAGGTAAACAAAAAAAAAAAAAACTGGAGGAGTTTACATATACCCATTATAAATAAGAAAAAAACTGGCGGAGTTTACACTAGACCTTTTATTATCGTTTTATTTTAACCGATATTCTAGGGGAGTTTATAATCACCCATACAGAATATACATTCAGGATTTAGCCGGTTTGGGACAACTAAACACCATAATATTTAAAAATCAAAATCAAGGGGGCCAGTTCGGGGCCACTGATTTTTCTTAGGGCGCCAGGCCCCCTAAGCCCCCCCCTTGACGATGTGCTTGTGTACAATACCTGCAGGACTTTAAACAGGTCACGAGATGCGTCCGTCATCTGCGAAATGCAACCGACGGACGGTGTGAAGCGATCCTACCACCCTCGGCAATTTTCACCAGCCCCGGTGGTGAAAATTTTCTATATGCTATAGTTACCATGGGGTTAGTTAATAATTATGATACGCAGAATATCTTGTTATCGCCTGGGAAATGAATAACACGTTCAGGAGCATTTATAGCGCCGACAAACATACGTTGGGATGTAATTATATTTACCTACCTTTACTGGTATGTTTTCACCCACGAAGTGTGGTTCGACGGAAAAGGGCCACGTTTTTCCTCGCACGGTCCAAAAGGGAGTCGACTTAAAGTTCAACAGTTATCTAATTAATGTTTCAAACTTAAATCCCTTCAGCATTCTGTTTTAGAGTGTGCGTTAAGGTTTACAATTCGATCGCTGTTGGTGTGTTACCTACCGTGGACACGTTCCCGGGGCAAATAGATTTGCGGGTCTATGCACGACCGTAATGAATAAATCATGTTAGTTATTAGAAAGACTTTTGGTCCGCATAATAAGTCCGTATAATGCTAATTCAATGATAATAATAAGAACTTTGAAATTCTGAGGCAAGGAACAAAATAATAATAGCGAAATTATTTCGGTGACACTTAAATTTTAACATCCTTAAGTTACACCTGTTTTATGATATTGTACGGAACTATACATTTAGGTTGTGTATAAATACTAGAGTGATATTTTCTTATTTTCTCATAAAATTATCCGATATGCACGAATCTGTTCTGAGAATATAATTAAAGCGGTTGGATAGTTTTAAAATAACGAATAAATAATATTTTATTTAATACACATTTGGGTTAAGAATACATGACTAGTGGAGGAAGGCTTAATTTTAAAGTTTATTTTTAATTTAAAAAGACAAACAATTTGTGGTCTAAAATAATCCCGAATTCTAAAAATTTAAAATATAAACAAACCACCCTTCACTTTTTCTAATTATCTCTTTGATCCCTTTAAAAAATATATATATATATATATTTTTTTTTTGTACATATTATGTACAATGAATACGTTAAAAAGAATAATAAATCGATTCATAAGATACAGTAACGTAACCAGAAATATCTCTTGGGGGGTCCAAAATTATATTACAATAGATATAAACATAAATAATTGTGTTAATAATAAATGTATTTTTTATTTGTGCTACCATATTAATAATAAAATTAACGATCATTCAGTTGTTGAATGTATGAATCAAGTAAAGGAATAAATAAAGCTATTTTGAAATATTCTTCAGGATCATTTGCTGAAATATTTATGCAGTGTTTTTGGCGTTTAGCTAATCAAGGAATTTCAATTTTAATTTCAAAATCATTTAATATTTCATTAAGATCATTATATAGTTTGTTAAATTCAAGACTAACGTTTTTTCTTATGGACATTAACTGTTTTTTCACTAAACTTTTATGTTCAACAGCGTCAACTAAATCAATATTTGTGGTTTGTAAATATTTACAAAGCGAATGAGTATACTGAGAAACATAATTAAGAATAGTCAGGGCTACATTAAATTCCGATGCTTGCAGTGCTAATAGAAGTTGATTTGCTTTACTTGATGTATCACTGTCACTTCACATAATTATTTCTTCTAAACAATTTAAAATTGCAGGGAAAAATTCATAAAATGTTTCAATTGAGTTATAACGCTTAATCCACCTAGTTGGACATAATCTATTTAGTTTTTGTTTTTGATATGAAGATTCGTTTTGTTTTAGTTTGTCTAAATGTGTTAAAAAAAACTGTTGTCTCTTCGGAGTGTTAAATAAATTATAACATGTTTTAGCTGCAATTCCATTAAATCTCCCACTCATACTTGCCGCCCCATCATAACCTTGACCTCGTATTTGATGATAATTTTTTTTTATGATAATTCGTTTTTTCATGATTATTAAACCGTTCTACAGCATGCTTCCATTTATTAAAAGCCTCTGTGCAAAGCTGACTAAGCGGCTGATTACCCTTACCACCTTTTGATTGAGAAAAAAGCACACAATATTTACAGTAGGCGCCATCTTTTACTTTACTATAAGCAAGCCAATTCCATTTTTCTAGCCAGCTATATTGAAATTTTAATAGTTTCTTGTCAAGCTCAGTAGAAGGAAATGAAAACGTCTACCTGGAATCCAGATGTTTTCTAGGTATTTAATTTTTTCAGCATCGTTCAATGTTTACCAACATACATGTTAATATCGAAAATACTATGGTCAACTACACTCACTGTTTCTGTATTAAAAGTTAGAACATCATTAGTAGTAAGTTTAGAATTTGATTCTGATGAATCTAATACTTTAAATTATATATTTAAACGTTTCATAATGAAAGTATAAAGTACAAAATACGAATAGAACAGAAAAATACAATTTTATATTAACTGGACAACCGTTTACGACCGTTAAGTTGAGATAAAAAAAAGCAAATTCTTGTTTAATAATACGGTACGTTAGTAGGACCATAATTGTAGGAGTAGGTTAAAATATTACGAGTATATTGCGATAAGCAATATATATATAATTATCATAAACGTTATAAAGTAAACACGTTTAAGTTAATGTCTATGACCGTGATTAAAATGGTTGGTAGCATTAGTTCGATTTTCGATTCTCGCCTCGGTCTACGTCTCCTACAACTTACTACGATCCATGGATATCACAGACTAAGATAGGTTAGGTTAGGTTATTTTTACCTAATGAATCGATTCACGTGCTATAAGGATAAAATAGATAGGTATTTTAATTTAGTTTTTAACTCTAACGCAATTAATAATAGTAGTACAATTAAATTCATGACTTTCAAATTATATGGTTTGAAAATGATATTCACAATTTATACAGTTCAAAAAAAAAATTGCGATGCTTTTTAAATTAAAATTAAGCTCAACATATTAAGTAGAATGAGAAGTGCTCGGGTCAATTTTTACTTTCCATCACATCAACGAATTTGTATGGATAGCTTATCGGAATGTTGACGACAAAGTAAACACTTTCCGAGTGCATAAAATTCTAAATATTATTAGTTGATAAAATAACTTATACTTATATACTTACATTCTATTTGTATATGACGACCCATGCAGTCAGAGCATCGATGAACAAAGAGAGTCTATGGGTTGTTGAACCGTCAATTAGTCGATCGTTCTCTTTCAATTACGGTGCAATTACCATCGATATGTGTTCATTGATTTCATTATTAATTCTAGTAATACACTTATAGTATATAATATATGCATTAAAAATGCATAAATAAGAAGTACCAAAACATACGTGTGATATTATATGAGAACTTAAGTTGGATCGGAACACTAAGTCGAGAGTCGACTATACGATTATATTACTGAATAAATTAGTTTAAACGCTTACCATACAAGAACTAATTTTAGTTATTTTTCTTAACTTCCATGGTATATAAGTAGTAACTTAAAATAAATAAAAAATATTCTTACGTACTGTATCTCACTGGTTATTGCTCTACGGTTAATTATTAAATCAAATTATAAATCTTCGATTCATACGTAAACTTATTAATAAGATTACAAAACTTTTAAGAGGCCAAACTTCAAAATTTCCTTATCGAAAATAATTATTTAGTTAGAAGCTAGAAAACATCTAAATGCAATATGGGTTTATTTATATCTGTTACGAATACAACTATACTGTTGAAAACAATAAATGTATTTGTTCTCACTGCCAGAGATACATCTGAATAATATAGATTAATCTTTGATAGGAATCACAATTTATGGAATCAGTCGGACGTAATTGTTGTATGTTAGATTAAATCAAAGATTAAATGGAGATAACTCGAATTTAATAGGAGAAGAATCAATAAAATGGCTAATTAGCTGAAACAGCTTGAAGTCATCATCATCAGATACTATATTGTTTTATTAATTGTATTAATACAAGAGTACTGTGATTGATCGACATAAAGATAACAATATGTAGCGTGACAAACTACTTTTTAATTGAAATCTTAATCTCCAGAGAAATAAGTTATGAAATTACTTTTATAAAAATAAAATATATGATTGCTAAGTAGTGCGTTATACAAAGGACTATAAACATTATAGTTATTAATAATTATAATTTTTAATATTATTACATTAGGACTACAACATTATAGATTTCGGTAAGTGTCGAAGTTTCTTAATGTGTAAAAAAATTTTGTTATCAGATCGTCACAGTCAATTTAAATTTGAAATTATTTAAATAATTATTGTTACCCAACGCAATTTAGAAATCACATTTAAATAAATATAAATTGAATAATAATTGTTTGGTATTTTAAATAAATTCTCTATTTTTTTTTTTTTACGTAAAATTTTCTCAAAAGATATATAAAAAAAAAAGAAAACTTGACCTACCTCAAAACACTATTTTTTATTGACTTGACCTTATACTTTATATTAGCTCATACATTTTGACTATTGTATAAAAGACAAATGTTTGCAAAATTGTTTATGTTTTATTATATTGTTTTATATTGTTATTTTATTAAATCGGTCCTCTGTTAAGATTATTTGTGTTTTTAATGAATGATTATTTTATTTTAGATATTTTTTTTTTATTTTTTTTTATCTATCATATTGTGATCGAATTACATAGTAAATTAATGTTTTTATTAAATGCAACATTTTGGCACAAATATCAGTTGTTTTGGATGGTAATATACAATACACCACTTGAACGTACATTTATTTATGTAGAACATTAACTGTATATAAAATTACTCTTGGTTGTGAAAATTACAATTTTTGATTCTTCATCTACATGATAAAATGTTTCTTTACGATGTGTAGTAATTATTAATAATCTTAAAATAAAACTTATAGTGTAACGGGTAAAATATTTATTTTTGCGCTTTTATCCCACTACTAAGGTACAAAAGTGCAAAATGAATTTGCGCTTTTGGTCTATCGAAAAAAATTAGATGATTTGCGCTTTTGGGTTTCACCAGTCTTAACGAACTAGCACTTGTATCACTTTGTTGGACAATAGACATAAATACTGATGAAGTAATTGATAAACTAGCAATAGTATAGCATAGAAAACTTGATTTTGTATTATAATTGCAAATAATAAATAATTATATTATTATTACACTGCATTTAGTGAGAATTTTTTGAAAAACACCAAAAGGTTACATTTATGTATGCCATTCAATGGTCCATACCCTCCCTATAACAATTCCTAAATACGCCGCTGTAATGTCGTGCCGGACGTGACCGGTGTCCCATCGTCCGCGCGGGTACGTCGTAGTGTTCGCCGAGGTTTTCAAACGTTGTCGGGGCAACACCACACGGTCTCGCGTCACCACCGTCCAGTGGTCGGGTCTCACCGGAAGAAATCGAAATGGTCACCAAAAGTCGTAAGACCTGTTATGGAGCGACATCAACGCAAATCGTGCGGTCGTAAACCGTTTTTCTTGCGTTTGCCGTAGTTTTCGTTGTCGACTCGTAACTTGCACGTATTTATTTATTTTTGTTTTATAACTATACGCGATCCCCCCTCTTCTTTTCCGCAGAAAAATTGTAACTCGCGAAGAATTCGAAAACACAACATTGCCGGCGCACCAACCCCCACTTCCGGCACGGCGGAAGCCGTTCCCACCGGTCCGATGCCGTCCGGTCGCCCGACGCGAACGCGCCGCGGCAGTCGATTTTCTCGTGCGCACGTCGTCCGGTCCGTTCACGCCTTAAGGATTTTTGATTTTTATTTTTATTATTATTTTCGCGCCAACTTCCAATCGTCCGCGAAAACCGACCGTGAAACCGCGCCGACGGTGGACGCGTCGGATCGACCCCTTGGCCGCGGCCATGCGACCGGATCGCCGCAGCTGGCCGTCCACTGCGGTCCGCGTGACGTTGCTTGCTTTCATGCTCGTCCACGTGACGCGATCGTCGAGAAAGGTGAGTGTCAGTGCCGGGTTAAACGTTTGTAGGCCCTAAACAATTATTTTTTACGTACATCTTTAACGTTACTATCCAATATTTAAAATAAACAGCTTTATTAAATAACCGACTATTATTAATAAATAAAATCGTGTTTGTTACATTTTTTATTTGCAAGAAAAATTAATCAATCGTTATATTGTTTCTATTTTTTTTTTCAATCAATTTTATTATTATTACCGTATAAAACACCTACAACTTAATATATATTATATTTCATAATAACTTTGGTCCCGTAAATTCGTAAATAAAATACAAGTATTATTAAATTAAAAAAAATATATATAGTTTTCCGTTTTCACAGCCCCCTCACCCCCTTAAATAAGTGATGCCCTAAGGTGGGCACCTACTCTGCCAAATGGGTAATCCGGCACTGGTGAGTGTACACACCCTTTGCCAGTAGCGTCATTTCGAAAGTGTGTGTAACTCGAAATTCGTGCGTTTACCACAGTCCTTTCCGTATCTCGATCCTTACGCTGAGGCAGCCCGTAAATGATCTTCGTGTTGAATAGACGGCCTTCCGAAGAAGAAGATAAAAAACTTTTATGCCTCAATATAATAAAATCACTAATAATTTTATTACAAGATATTTTATCATATATTTTAACGCAATACTGCACAACTCGATTCTGAAATTTTTATTTTGGAAACCAAGATATTTTTCTCGGCGTTAGTTTACGAACAGTCACCCAATGTCGGGTCGTAACTCATTGGTCGGGTAACTTTGGTCCAGAGTTTAACTATTCTAATGTCGACGCATCATCAAAATATAAATATGTATTTTATAAAGCTATTGATATTTTACGAAACGCAAAAATTAAACGTGTACTAAACGGATGCTTGAGTATAAAATACAAATCATTAATAAATCGACGCTTTGTTAAAATGAACCGTCGAGTCGGCAGTTAAATAAATAGAAAAACCTCAAATTACGTCACTGCCCTTAACATACCCGACCCTAAGCGAAGGAACAAAACGTCCTTACTCGTCATCCGTCCACCGCGCCCGAGCCCGTCGTTGTGTCAGTCGTGTCCATAGGTACAACTAAAGCTTACATGTCTAGAAAGTGGGGTTAACTTAACACCGATCTGCATACGACCCTACATCACCACATACCGATTTACGTACGGAGAAAAGTCGGCTAGGGACCATTTTTAGTGCTTTTCAGGCAGTACTCAAGTTGGGTCCGACGTTCATTCAAGTATGATTAAAAATTTTAATTGTTTTTGTATATACTAAATAAATAAAATAAATTACTAAAAAATTGAAAAAACTTAAACGTTTGATAAAAATTTTAACGAGTTAAAGAGCAAAGCCTTTCCAAGCTCCTTCCTCCTATTCACGTCATATTCGTGTTCCGGATACTCTCGGCCGCTACGGATCATTCACCATCATTAAACGTCCTGTATCGTCTCGTTCTTCGACCCCGAAAATCATTTCCGTTTCATCGCCAAGGTGCGTAATTTGTTCGAATTATTAGAGCCGTTTCTACCGTGATATCATTCGTGCGCAAACGCGTTACCACGTTGTTTTCATGTTATTTAGTTTTTCGAAATCCATCGTTTTCCTTTGCGCATTACTCATCAAAAAACACGTTTCTAAAAAAATCCACACCAATGATACTTTATGGCACTAATAGCGATTGATCTTAATTAAAATTCCGCTGTTCAATAAATCCATGGTCGATTTTTTTTCTTTCTTACTTCCAACTCAAATGTTAAGACCTTTCGTTCTTTGATGAAATATGGTTCAATAACGTTTGAGTCTTTGATGTTTATAAAACTATATATAATTAGTATACACCGTGTGTTCAACGATTTACAAAATAATTGTATACAAATACACATTTATAGGGATATTTCAACATTTTATTATTTTGGTATGTGCATATACAGTACAATTTTTTTTTTTTTTATAATAGTTACACCTATTTTGAGCACAATATACACATATGCCTATATTTTTAAATTATTATATGTCAACTATGGTTCTAAATTCAAAACTGACTGAAAAAACTCGTACAAGACTCGTAAAAGCCATTTCAATTTTAAAAAAAATAATACATTTTTATGTTTCATTAAAATACATAAAAACATTTATAATCATTTATTATATGTTCCTTTTGAATATTTTTTAGGTACTTTTTTTAAAAGTATTATAAATAATATTAATATACTAACAACATACTAATAATTAAAAACAATAATTAATAATTAAAATAAACAATTAAATAAATAAATAAATAAATAATTAAAATTAATAATTTACTAAACCCGAGAAAATGTGCATTTGCTTTTAATTTTTAGTGTATGCAATAGAAATTTGTTAAGTCAACAGAAAAGTATGCTAAACAATACTCAGGTTGGTACCATTCGCCCACGTCAATCCACTACACACACATTTCATTAAAATAGATATATTGCAGATCAAACCTGGATCATATATTGTAAACGTAGTCCATAGACTACCCAAAGAAAATAATATTAATGAAAATATGAAACTTTAAGTTTTAGTTTACTTATGGTTGAATCAATTTTTAATAAATAACATAGTATCTATATTATATTAATTTTGTTTATAAAACTTTTAATTCTAAATGGAACAATAATAAATAATTATAAACCACTTTATGCATTTTAATGAATGTTAATTTTTTTTTTTTTTAATTAAAAAGGCTAGGTTAGGGTTGCTTATACACTCAATTTTGATTTTGGAACCATAATTGATACAACAAAATTACATTAAAAAAATAGACCTATTCGTAAATGGTTTTCAAAATAGGTGTTGCTATTTAAAAAAACACATTTTTGACTGCGTATACGCATATCGAAATGATAAATATTTTTAAATTTGTTATAAATAAATATTTATATACGACTAGCTTGTGAAAAAGAAATTCGATTTATTCCAATTTGATCCGGCTAAGGTATTCAGTACTCTTTAAATTAGTGAAAATATTGTATTATATTTATTACTGACAACTATATTTTGTTATTATTCAAGACCCATCGTGTCAACGATACCATACTATTTAATAAATAAGTTCACTCTAACCTTTAGTGAGTCTTAATGCTAAAAACTCACTATGGATCGACGTCATGCAATAAAATAATCAGATGAAGACGTTTCAGAATGTTATCTCATTATAGGAATAATTCTCTTTTAGGGTTATTATTTAATCTTTCGTCATATCTAATTTGCTGTTATTTCATACTTTGATATAGACATCACGTAACCTTTAGGAAAAGCTATTGGTTTCATATAGCCTATGTAACATTATCCCATATCATGGACCGACGGCTAAACAAATAATGTTCTACTTTTAAACAAGTATCATTGCAATGTATTATATCATATTTATTTAATATCTTTTGAAACGAAATATCGATTATTTTTTAACTAGAATCTTTTCTAACTCTCATAGTTGCCACTATGTTTCACACCATATAATTCTTACGTTACGTGATTAATTTCAACGCCATACGATATACACGTATATTGTATCATATTTAAATGTAGGTCCTTTAATTGATCAACCAATCTTTTTATAAAAAAAAAAAAAAAATTAAAAATAAGCTGTATTTTTGTTTTTTATCTTTCTTTTTTTTTTTTTTTTTTTTGTTTATAAACATAAAATTTCTTATTTTTTATAACATTTATTTAATAAAAAAACAGAAAAACTGCTCCAAATCAAATAAAAATCATAGACTGCAAATTTGAAAAAAATATAATATTATGATACATAAACTCAACCAACTTCTGAGATAATACATGTTTCAATATTTTATTGTAGTCAGGATTCATAATTATTTATCTCATTATTTACATTCTACCTAAATCGTTCCAGATTTTAATTTTTATTTACAAAATGGAAAACTTTAGACGATGAAGAAATGAATAGGTACTTATTTCCTGAACGCGTTAACGTATTGATATAACATACAGATTTTTATTTACACGTTGCACCATTCAGAAAATATCTGAGTGCTTCCACATCCTCTAGTTGGGCCTGCCAAGCAATTAGGAAAATATTCGTACAATTATATGAAGTTATTGATTATGTTATATATCCATTAAATCACATTTTTCTTATTCTTAGAGCCAAAATACGACAAGAGTTGTCAGCACATGTATTCTTGTAATAAAATCCTTTTCGGTCTGAAATTTGGGCACTAAAATATATGTATATGATGTAGTAAGACGACGACGATTTAGTGCTTGTCTGTGAAAAACGAACATAAATCGGAATCTTCTCTCAAGCAAACCAAACGTTGTACCTGACATTTGCTTATTCAAACGCAATACAATAACATTTCCATTACAGTATACATAATATGTAACGAGGGCGTTGTTTTGAAAATACGTCAATGTCAATTTAACATGTACACAAATGATATTTCAACAACAGTGTATTGGTTATGTATATATACTTATTCGCACCCAATGACACATTGTCGAAAACACTTCTGGTGAGGTTTTATTTTACATTTTTACATAATGTCCATAATATTATATTGTTGTTATCCCGTCATTAACTGATAGTCACGTGATACGTTTTTAATGATATTTATTTATTGTATCTCTATTTCGATAATCGAAGTACTTTAAGAGGGTGCAGTACGTTTCGGAAAAATACGTGTAATTCAGTGATGAATGGTCGTAAAAAAGCCTTATAGAAAATAGCGAGCAACAAGTGGAATGGAATCGCTGGATAGCGAAATAATGTACAATATCTTATCTCGTCTTGTGTTTCGTTTTTCTTTTTCTCTTTTCGCGATACCGAAGAGTGCTGGGAGGATTATACTTTGGTCAATTTTCCATACGGTTCACTGATCAGAGTATATGTATACACAGGAAGTAATTTCGTTTTCAGTAGGTGTCCAATTATTGGTTAATCCTTTATTCTTTATTCGTACTTTCTACATAGCCGTCATCGTAGCTTGATCGTGATGAATTTTATACTCATCCGCCACAGTGATAATGAAGCGATGATAATACGCGCTCCATTATTAGAAGACTGCAGGAGGCATAAAAATATTGACGAATCAATGATTATTATTACCTTGGAAACGATGTATTCACTGTTTGAGAGAAAACCGTTTTTTCTTACGAATAAAGCGTTCAAGTTGAACGGACTTTTTGGACGGTGAAAAATCGACAATGAACGCGTTCGTTTTGGGCACGTAAACACGTATAAAATCGTTATCGAAGTGGAGCAGTAGTGTTCAACTGGTGGGTCAGGACCCAATTTTGGGTCGCGATAAGCCTTCTGTTTAAAATTTAAAAAACTCATATTCATTCATAATACATATCGTCAGACTAATTCGTAACAGTTCTATCTCCAAAAATGAAATTTTTTTGCTTATGACTTTTTCAAATAAAATTAATAATAACGCATCATTTAAAAGCATGTTGCCTCAAAAATAATACTTTATTCTTTTATGATATTTTAAGTTCCATAATAATATTTATGTTAAGATGTTTTTATTAATCAATTTAGTATAAGAAGAGATCCTAATACAATTAAAAATTTCTCCTAATTACTAATTTTACTGTTAACATAAATAATCAAATACATTTATTAAACACATTTATTTTAAGTATTCTTATTTTTGAGTCAATAATACGTTTTTTGTCCCACATGAAAAATAGACAATATTGAGATAGAACTTCTATGAATTAGTCTGATGATAGAGTGTATGTCATATGATATCCGATAAAATTATTCTCGAATATACCAGACAGAAACCGTAGGAAATATTTTATATTTCTAGAACATGAGAATAAACACTGCTCTCTCGTACACTTATACCTAATTAAAGTAAAAATATAAAAAAGGTTGAAGACTATTGAAATAGAAGACTATGAAGGGGTATGTATAATTTATTAGGTCACGAATGTTGTTGCATTTGGAACTTTTTTTCTACCGCATAAATTTATTGCTAAGTAAGTTTGAATGCTATTGAAATTTTTTAGTACAATTTTTAATATTTTTAGCGCAATTTTCGCTATTATTTTTGCACAATACTGCAATAGATTTTACTACTTTTTTACCGCTATAGTACATCCGTAAGATAATTGTGCTCCGAGATCGGTTGGTTTTTCGACGTATTTCGCTTGTCGGTTTTCACCGGTAATGGATCGAAATCCGGTTTAAAAACACTCTCTCGACCTCTATTGTCTCGGTCGATTTTTGATTAGTTTCATGATTCACGTTTTGGTTTGTTCGCAGCAAAAGCGTCAGCTTTTCCACGAGAACCTGTTGCCATACTTCGGCGGCAAAATACCGGACTCGGCGTTCCGGGCCGACCGGTTGGCGCTAAACATGTTGAACAAGGAAGGGATCTCCGTGCCAGACGGCATACTGTTCGAGGCCAGGCCCAAAGAGTCGTATCACCGGAGCCCGCGCAACGATCCGGAACTCTCGAACTCCATACTGAAAATGATCCACACGCCGGACAACAGGTAAGTAGATTTACACCAGTAACGCGGTAAGACGTTTTATCTTGAAAATTTGTTTCCGGTACTTGAACGGCGACGACCGACGAACTCGTTTTTCTTTTTTTTTTCTTGTGTCGAACGTTTTCACGAAATGAAAATATTCAACGCGACAGTGCACCCAACGTCATCTAAACGTAATCCAATAAAAATGCGATTTAATTTACGAGGACAGGAGGAGCGCAAAAAGCAAATAATAATTTCAATAATTAAATAATCAACTTTTTTCAGAGAATTATGTCACTTCGGTGTGTGTGTGGACAGTAAAATAAAAGTTACCGTCGAAATACAATTGAAAACTTTAAGAATCGATTTGATATAAGATAATATGTTTTCAAATTATTTTTGAATATAAATTGTTTATTTTAAAAACAACAAAATATACTGAGAAAATGTTTGTCGTTTGATAAAATATCCTCTCTGTATACCATATAAATGTCAGTACAAAATCAATTAGTAAACATCATGAAATAAAAATTGGAGAAATAACGTGAAAATATAATTATTTGAATAATGTATAAATTATGACCCAGCAGTATGACGAAAATTAATTCAATTTACGTTAATCGGTAAAATATATTATGAGTATTAGTGCAAAACTGAACTAAAAGTACAAAAATAATTTTCATTACACTCTTGAGTTCTTAGTAATAATTAATCGGTTTTAAATTGTTTTTATTTTGTTAATCGACGGATACAATTAATATTAAATTAAATTGTCTGTATCTTAATGCACTTGGATCATAACCGAATGATTCTAATATGATTTCATTAACACGCATAAACCTTATGTGCTCACGAAATAGCTTTTGAAACTTTAAACTTTCTTATATTAGACTACATAGTTCTAATTACTTATTATTAAAATAATGACATTAATAATTTAGGAACATTACAATTGTATGCGAATATTACTGACACAATCTGGCAAACATAATCGGATAAATGTTTTAATCGAATATTTATGTCTTCGTATCACAGGTTTAGTCCTTTGGAAGGAAGATACGAAGGCGAAAACGAAGTGGAAACCACGTACAAGATCGCCATACCCACATACATGAAGAATTACCGATTACCAAAATTTAGGCCTATATCAGAAGCCCTACAGCTGCCAACTCATCAAGTATACAACAGCGCGTTGTCAATCATTCCGTTCAGGGAAATGATACTGAGCGTTCCTTTTCGCCCGACGACACAGGTAAACCATGGAAAAAAAATATTCCTGAAATATTTGCATAGTTAGTAGTTAACATCGTGAGGTTATTATTAGTTTTATATTTTATTTTTGTAAACAATATCTATAATCTTCTGGTTCAGATGGATATATTTTATTCTTTAGCGATCACATGTAACGGTTGGCAATTATCATCATCACTTTTTTGCTCTAGTGATAACTCACATCGTCATCATGTTTGCCAATACATTTTGTCATATCCTCGTATTTCGGCAATGTACACATTCTTAAGTAGATTTTATAGGTGTATGGCAAACAGTTTTTTTGTTTTTTTTTTGTTTAAATTCATAATGGAAATTGACGATGTACTGAACAACGGTGTGAATACAAAATTATTGGCGAAGAAGTAAATATTTTTCCTATCATTTTAACTCCGTGTACATTTTTTCGCCTAACAAATCAAACCGTGACTGAACAGATCGATCACTCTGTAAATATTATATTAACTGTATGATTTTAAAAATAAATATTATAGATTTTACGAGTATGTTGTACGATAAAAATAATAACAATTAATAAAAATTCCCATTGTTTTTTCAAAATAAATATGTATTTTTCGGTACCTAGTATTAATATAAAATAACACATAATCTGAATACTGGAAAAACGAAAAAGTAACTAGCGAAAATTCGTCTTAGCATCATAATTGAATGTATTTCAAAATATTTTCTTCGGTCAAAAAATGTTTATAGAATACAATAGGACAAATACCAACACTTAAAAATAGAAAAATATAATAATCAGTTGAAAAAGAATAAAAACGTTAAGGTGGGAAAAAGAAGTTATATCCTATGATGCTTTTAATTGAATCTATATACATACAAATGGATTTCTGTCAGCCCTTTGTGCATTTTAAAAAAGGCTGGGCCGATTACAACGAAATTTGGGACAGAAATATATTAGACCTATGGGCAGAAGATAGACTAAGTTAAAAAGTGATAGGCTCAACCCCGGAAGATGTTCAAATAGACAATTTGAGATTTATGATGGACATTTTTGTTTACAGATGGTTGCTATTAGTTTCAATAATAATAATAAAGTAGTGCGAAAGAAATTATTATTCCTGAATTTGTTATTATTTTTTATTATTTATTTCCATGGTACGTGCGTCTATGTCATTAAACGACTTTATTGATATTTTGTGTAAAAATATAAAATATAAAAATATACTGCTAACGTAATCACAGACAACGAATTTAACACACAGTTTGAAACATATAAGAGATTATATAGGATTTTTAACGGGCTACGAAGTGCACGGATTCAGCTAGTTTTTAATATCGAATGATCATTTTGACCGGAACGCCTCCTAGAAATCATATTTATTATAATTATATTATGTACTTATTACGATTTGAACGGATGTATAAATGTGACAGTTTTTCGACCTCACGCTTAACATTTATATTGGAAGACAAATGTTCAAACAATTGTAAGAACATTTATGGATAAATACAAGTTGGCATTCAATTATTTCAACGAATCCTTATATGAATTTATATTAATACTGAAAACTCTCAATAATTATTTAAAGTATCTAAACATTGTTACTAGTACATTGAACATTAATTTTTATTTTTGGGTGGTGTTTAATTTATTTAATTTTTTTTTCAGCATTTTTTGAACTTTAATTGATTATGAATGCTTCTATTTTAAAAACAATTGTACGATTAATAATAAAATCAATTGAATTTAAAATACTTTTTAAACATTTTTTATCTATATTAAAATATACTATTACATACGCGTTTCTAAACTGTAAGACACTCGTCTGATAACAATAATTTCATTACTAACACACGATTTTAAAAGTGTAAAATTGCCATTCCCAAAAAAAAAAACATTTTACGAGAACCGTTATGTTCAGCGTGTTACGCATAGTTTACGGTGAACAATAATATCAAGAATATTTAAATGCTAAAAAAGATAAAAAAAAATAAAACGAAAACATACAGCATTTAATGTTGTACGCGTTTTATTCACGTTTCGTTACATATTATTATTATTACTGATGTTCCTAATGTACCGAGATTACGTTGAGCGTCATTAATGTACCTTAAAACATCTAAAATATTGAACAAATGGTAGGCCAAAACGAGTTTCCCGTTGCAAATTCATTTCCGACCTAAACGATTCAAATAAACAACGCGTAGTGCGGCGGCGAGTACGATTATGTTATTTTTTCGTTATAACTAGAGCCCGGATTTATATGCATTTAAAAAGTGTCAAATATGATGCAAATATGCAAAGAAAGAGTGGCTAAATATACAATAATATGCATTATGTTACATTTTATAAAATGTATTTTTTTAAAAAAAAAAAACCACACTTTTATACCAAATAAAATTCTAAATATTTTATATTTTATCAAAAACAAATACAAAGATAATATCCACTGCTTTATATTTCAAATATTTTAAATCAATCTAAAACTTTTAAGAAACTTAAAAACGAGGATACAAATAAAAAAAAAAACTAAAAATAAATATTTTAGATCATTTGAAGTTACCTGCACTCAGAAAACGAATAGACAACTTAAACAATTTTTTTCAACTATTATATTTTATTAATTTATTAAAAACCCATTAAATATACGCATATTATATGCATTTATGAACAAATATGCAGTATAAAATTTGGTGTTTAAATTCAGTGTGATATGAATCGTTGAAATTTTAAATCTCCATAAACGTTCATACACATAGTGCAAACATGCAAATTAATATAAATCCGAGTTCTAGTTATAACGTTACAGAACACATGACAGCACATCGATGATACGCGAACGAATATAAATGGAATTTCGACTATCGTCTACCGGACAACGAATAATTGGTAACTCGCGTACAGCTTGAGCACAGTGATTTCAATAATGCTGTTACTATGTGCTCGTGTAATTTTCTCGGTCGTGAATTTGACGCATTTAACTGTTAATAATATAGATTCATAGATAAACATGAGACCAACAACAACACCGTAAACACATTGAATAAACCGGGAAGTCCACGTCCATATGTTCATGAGTTTACCGCGAGTTTCCAATAACAACTCGTCGAATTGGCTCGACTCGAACGTGAACGGTTACGATACATAATAGCTGTAGATTGTACGATGATTGTGTACGCGCGTGCGCGTGTTTGTGTGTATGTGTGTGATTACGGTTAAGTTTATTTGAAGAAATTCGAAAAAAAAAATACCAAGTGTTCGATAACTGTTCGCGAAACGATTAACGAAATGATTATTAAATCGCAGTACGATATAGTTTTTAATCGAACTAAACATCTGCGGGTATACGTACCCGTAGTTATAAATGAACGTTTTTAATGAAACGTGCATCGGAATCGTCCGATTAACTTTTGCGTGGAGCTCACCGCCATGCACGGCGTACACGTCTGTCCAGACGCGTGCTGTTATCAAAGGCGGAACTAGGGGGTGGAAGACGAAGATTCCTCCCCGGGCGAAAAATTTTAGAGGATGTAATTTTTGTAATTATTAACAACTAATTTGATATTTTTAAATTTGTTAAATACCGATGTTAGGTTAAAACTCAATAAGTATGATTGTATATTAATTATTAAAAAAAAATTCTCGAGAAGAGTATTTGATTATTAGTCTATGATAGAGCGTACTTTCCCCGGCGTGAAAATTCCTAGTTCCACCTCTGGGTGTTACGAATATGAAAAAAGGCCATATTTTTATGCGCGCGACAAACCGACCGGTTCGTTAACATTATCACTCGTGTCCAGCCCCCGATTCGGCCGATCGATACGCAGTTTTTCACGCGGTTCTCGTGGCAATACGCGTTTTCAACCAACCCCGTTTAACGACGGTGTCGCCACTGGACCGAGGGAAATCCATCATGGATCTACGGACCTCACGTGCACGGCGATTAACGCAAACGTGCGCGATTGAATTCGACGATATTACATAAACGTCGTACCGTTATTATGTGCGGAGAAAAAAATTAGAAAACCAACACGACTGCGTTTGGCCGATCATTGGGTAGTATTAATCATTGGCTAAGTGTCCCGAATAACTTCTAGTTCTTAACCGGAAAATTAAACAGTCCGTTTGTAAAACGATGAGATAACGACCGGTTCCAATATTTGGACATAACGGCGGTGACGGGGACAAATAAACAAACGTACACATACACATATATATATATATATATATATATATATATATATATATATATGTATATGTATATGTATAGAGGAGAGAGAGTGCGATCGACGTTGCTTTTGCGTGTCATTGACTGTGGTATAAATAAAACCGATTCAATCTAATCGTTCAACCATTTAGAACAGTCGCATTTTTAAGAAAGAGAAAAAATAACTATTATAAGAACGAATTTAATAAACTTAATCGCTTCTGTGCAACGTAACAGATGTGTTGCAAATAAACAAAAAAAAAAAAAAAATAATGAAAAAAATAAAATATACTCCAAACTATACAATAAAAATCACTTTTTATGACGGCTAATTTATAATACTATTATCAATAGCTGTTATTTCCAATGATCAATTGACAATTTTAAAGGCTTAGAAATATTAACTTGCTGTGACCTATTCACATTTCATTCGACATTATTTACAAATCAAGCATGATTTGATTGCTGTTATCGTTTTGATATTTTATTCGTACGTGCCATATTGTAGCTATAACTATGTAATTTTTCGACCGGAGCAATTAAACGACTCTAAAAATCATACGAATCAATTTTTTGTCCCGAATGCTCAAATCGTTAATTGTACAGTAGTTTCTGCACGTATATAAAAGTTAAAACAATTTAAAATTATAGTTGGCAATAAATCTTTTCAATGCTTACAGTTATTTCTGTGTAAATTAGACTAGGCACGAACAAATATTCAACTACTCGTAAAAAGTAAAGTTTACGAAAAATATATAGACTTAATGAAGTAAGTTTATACAAAAATTATCGGACTGTAAGAGGAGAAATTCTCATTGTTTTCTAAACCTAGTTAATGGTCTCTTGACACTGAAAAATTGCTCATTGAGGATTGAAGCATAAAATTTATGTTTTTCTACTCCCGTGACTAATTGATTTGGGACCATGTATATCGTACATTCAGAGTAGGCAAATTTATGCATTCTCAAGAGTACTTGAGAAAGGGACTTTTAACAATGTGATATTTTATTTTTAACTTTGGCTTCTTCACTTGACCAGACGTAAATAAGAAATCGCTATAGATAACGGTCAACTGTAACCAAAACCATGATCATGTTTGTATGTGCTAGAAGTCCATTGCATACAAACATTTTCAAAAATATAGATTAGTTCGGAGGACATTATAATACTCTGATTCCCAGTGCTTCGAATGTTAAATATCTTGGCTTAACCATGGATAAAAGACTGACCTGGGCACAGCATATTAAGTCCAAAAAAATTAATCTAAACTTACGCCTTCGACTACTTAAAAACCTCATCAATAATAATAAATATACTCACATCAATACCAAATTACTAATTTACAAATCTCTACTAAAGCCTGCTTGGACATATGGCCTACAGCTTTGGGGAAACGCAAAAAAAACTAACATAAACAAAATCCAAACATTTCAAAACATCGCACTCCGCAAATTAGTAAATGCCCCTCCCTATGTCTCTAATCACACTATACATACAGATCTTAAAATGCCTACAGTCTCAGAAGAAGCTAAAGCATATTATAAACGTTTCCACTTCCGCACTTTAACCCATCCCAATCCTCTTGTCAGAAATCTTGCCAATCCTACTATCCCTGGTAACCCGCCGAGACGGTTAAAACGGAAATGGTGTCGTGATCTATTGTTGCCTAATATTAATATAAATATTAATTGAAAAAACTGAAAATATAAAAAAAAAAAAAAAAATATAAAAAAATTTAAGGCAAATTAAAGTGTTACTAATGGGTGGCTGCTTTTCTCAAAATTTTTCACGTGTTATGTACAAATTTTATTAAGGATACGATGTATTTTTTTTTAACTATCTGTATATATACTAATCTCATTCACATCTACTTATTGTGCCACGTGGTATAGATCGTAGATCGCATTTAAAAATAAAAAAAAAAAAAAAAAAAAGTTCGGAGGACTAGAAGACAACAATGACTTCGTATGCTTGTTGTCTCGTGACCGTATTCTAATGTTTTTATGCAACGAGGCTAACCGTTCACTACGATCGCAAGGTACGGTCTAGCCCAGCGGTTCTCAACATTTTTGAGTTCGCGACCCCCTATAATGTTACCAATATTTTTAAAGACCCTTTGTAATGTAAGCATTAAACATTTTTATAAAATGTTTGTATATAAACTGTTATTATTGTATTTATTTATGTATATATTTTACATAAAAAAGTAATTATAAAAGCCGATTAGCGTTAATTAATAGAAAAAAAAATAAAAATTATGTAAATTTTAATATTTTTTGAATTTAATGATTTTTTTGCTGTTGTTGATTTAAAATAATTTTTTTTTTACACGATGCGACCCCAAAAATTGTTGGTGACTCCCTAGTCGGGAATCGCTGGTCTAGCCGATGATCTCAAGTCCGCAAACTCGTGCGTTTCGCTAATATCAAACGATAGTTTGAACTATGTTGCATATGTCACCCTCACTATTATTTTTATCATTAACCCTAAACTAACGTATTTGGCATCATTGTTACACTTTATTACCATCGACTCCAAGTACTAGTTATGGCTCATCGCATAACAAATATTTGCAAATCATATTAAAATATTATTTTCGTTTCTACCCTTTTTGGTTATCGATTCACTAAAGATAATAAACGATGATGATAGTATAGATTCATTATAACGTACATGCACTCGAGTACGGGGTGAACCTATAAATCGACAGAGTCAAGCGTTTCATCAATACGTCCCGCTTTCCATCCCATTTTACGGGTTATGCTCACAAATCGAATTAATTTAAGTGTTCACTGTACGAATTCATATTCCACTTCAATACATTAGTATATTATACCGTATATTAACGCTGTACACAGGTGCCCTGCGGTCACCACCCCCTAAATATACATTTCGATTACTTCGATACCTGGCCATTAAACCAAGGTAGAAACGTCCGTTTTTTGTAACTATGATCTCCGAACAAATAATAAAATGAAATGATAAAATAATTAAAAATAATTAATACTTGTAAATTAGTATATAAAAATATAGTTTACGTATAGAAATAAGCAAATAAATAAAAGCTTAGCCAGGAGTATTGTTACATTTGTAAAGTACTACAGGTTTCGAATTAAAAATTCATCGCGAGGTGTACAAAGTCAATAAGACCGTGAATGAATACGAACAAATTAAATTTAAATCAAGTTAAAAAAAAAATTAAAAAAATAATTTAAGTTGAATTTGTTCGTATTCGTTTGCGGTTTTATTGACATTGTATACCTGACGATGAATTTTAATCCGGAACCTGTCGTACTTTACAAACATAATTAACACTCTAGACTTAACTTTTGTTTATTTATTTCTGTGTGTATACCGTTTGTTTGTTTACGTATCGAAACGAAACGGTAGTAATGAAACGCGAAAAGTATGACCGCGGCGAAGCGGTAGACGGAATTGGTACGTCGATTACGATAGAACGGGACGTTTGTCGCGTACGGAAAATATTCCTATGGACGTTCAATCCGCCGTAGAGCGTGGAGATTCGGTTAAAACACATTTCGGCATTTAAATACCATCGAGACGTCTAACCGCTTCGCTACCGGTCGGCCGATCAGATTTCTCGTTCTATATTGTATGGTAACGTGATCAACTCTTCTGGGTGGCTGTTTGCGTAAACGCATCACGTCGACACCGCAATACAGGTGCTGTTTTCGTGTCCGTCTAGTAATTATGTATTCGTACGTTTTAACGACGGTCGAAACGTAAACGCTTTACGTTCGGAGTATAACGTTAAAACGCGTGTGTGAATATCTTTGCGACCGAATCCGTCCCCGGCCGCGTAGCGACTTGAAAAGTATTTTCGGAATTCTCGACGAGTTTCGCGTTACAAGTGAGATTCCAACCGAACGATAGAAGCACCATGAAAACGCCCCTTTCACGCACGACGGTTTCGTCCGTACGATCTGTGTCTGAGTCAATATCCGTTATTTTATTTCTGTTTCAAAGCGAAATAAATTATTTTTAACATCTAAGTAGTTTCGACCACGGACGGCGGATGGTTAAAAACCGTATACTGTGAATACGCGTACCTAATCACGTAGGTTAGCGGCACGGTGAGCACGGTGACGTACCCTTCAGTCGTTGTATAACAGCGACCCTACGGGAAAAATCCGTCTACCATCCTGTGCGAAAGCCTCAATCTTAATTGTTAATCTTAATCTTAAGTTTTATGTGTTTACCGTCAATTGAATCCTTATGGTTAAAATCCGTATGGACGAAACCGTGGTGCGTGAAAGGGATGCGCCTTTGGCAACGTGTGAATTACGCGCCACCACACTCGGGCACTGCTACTTTTGGTCTTGTTTCAGAACTGGTATTCGCGGGACGCACAAAGGCCATATGTCGATCCGTTCAATCAGAACGCCAACAGGATTGTGAGTTTCGACACCGCGCACCCGACGCGATTCGTGTGCGACAGACCGGGAAAAATGTATCCAGACCCGGAGACCCAATGCCAGGTAAACGTATCGCATTTTATTTTTCACGGTGTTTACGACGGGCGGACAATGTCTGCGTCGATTTGCCGTTCCTTTCGCCGTTCGGAGCGGACGAAGGACAATCGTGTAACGCGTTTTATCACGTCTCGAGCATAATTGTTTTAAAAAAATCATCGTGCGCACATTGCCCCGTATCGGTTTCCGTGTAAGTCTTAATACCGTTATTTCGAAAAATCATCCCGCTAATAATCGCGCATTTTTTTTTTTTTGTGACTTTTTCACGGTGTATGAACGGTTTTCGGCGCGAATTACTTTTTTTCAGTGTTTTCCACAGTAACGATATGTTCTCCACTAATCTGTCAAATTTTTTTTATTACGCACTATGTGTACGTACGTGCACGTGCGTGTGTGTGCGAGTTGTGAATTCAGATGACACAAACGAGAAAGTGTTATTATACCTTAACGATTGACGACGCGGTGCACAGAGCGGACGGTTTTTTCTCCGAGAGTCCATTAACGAACGTCACGCTAGTTATATTATACACTCCCGGATCGAGAGTTTCCGCTATCTGTTTGATTTCATAATAATTTTATCCTTCTACTGCATTGTGCTCGTGAGTGTGTCCGGGGCACGTGAAAACAATGAGGCGAATTGTACGTGAAAACGCGCGAGTGGTTCGCAAACACAAATCAAATGCTAGGTGTCGACATGAATAAATTAAACGGCATCCTGGGGAATTTCTAATAAGATAGGTGCGCTCTAATAAATAAATTAATAGTTCACCTACGCGAATTCCGTCGCGCGGCGTATAACTCTAAATTCACCGTGATGTACATGTCATCGCGATGAAATCTCGATAAAACAAAAAAAATTCGCGCGGAACCAACGAGTTTACAAAGTCCCACGACTCGTTTTAACTGAGGAGACGGCCAATGATATGCACAAGTTGTGTGTAAACGTACCATAGATTTTCCAAATGTTCATAAAGCCAAAAACGGAAGACAATAGTTTACCGACTGATTTCGAATTGGCCGGGACAAAAAAAAAAAAAAAAAAAAAAATGTTCATAATAACGAACATCGCATAAATCATAAGTTCGCTGAGTTTAATTTGGGTATCAGGGGTGGATCTAGGGGTGGTCGAGGAGATTAGCTAACACACAGATAATATTTGCTGATAAAATTGACCTCTCGAAGACTTCTTATATTTTATAAGTGTGCCAACCGTACGTTAAATACTAAACCGAAGCAAACGCCCCACGGTTGCTACCATCCAAAAGACGCCACTGGTTCAATTATACTCGTATAGTACGGTAAAACTTCTCTATTTCTCTTCTTTCTAACGTTTCCCCTTGCAACACGGAATCATCAATGATATAAACGTTAACGATAATTATGAATAAACTTAAAAACACATATTAAACGATCATAATGTGTTTTTTTCTTTAATACGAGGTATTCGTTTATGATCCAATTTCAATCCCAATAAATGGCCGCTTTAATTATTATTTTTATTATTATTATTATTTCCGTTCCTCGGGGCAGGCGACTCCGTTTTCTAATTAAATAAAACAGCACCGGTACACGCGTCGTACATACGTGAACGCACGTACGCGGTCTTTTATGGGAAACACTCTGTTACATCTAAACTAACCGTGTTTCTACGTCACCCGCACGTTTTGTATTAACTAAAAGCGGTTTATGCCACGGAAACGGAAAACTTGTTGCAACGATAATAAATAATAAACAATTATTATAATAGTAATTATAATTCAATCGTGAGAGCGCGAAACGGGAATAATTTGATAACATATTTTATCGGCGTCATTGACCGAAACGATTTTATTTTAAACTCGACGAGACACACAGCTAGGGTAAAACGACCAATAAATAATCAACACAAATCCTGGCTGAGATTTAACAACGCGACGATAAACGGTCGGTGGCTCTGCGCATCGTTCGTGATCGTACGAACCGTAGAGCGGTCGAACGAAGTTTATGATTTAAACGCATTCAACTTGATTTCCAAACGAAGAAATTATTTTTTATTTTTTCGGATTAACGTTCTATTGCTGTTATTCGTTTAACGGTGTGAATTGATTACACGCCGAGCTTACGAATCGTCTCACACCGCGTACTGCTATCACATGCAAGGGCGTATTTAAGGGGGGTGATATGGGTGTTAGAACTCCCCCCCATCGACCGTATTTTACCAAATTGCAAACTTACTTACAGTATAATTTAAATAAACGTTGTATACAACTTGTAGATTTTACATATACCGTTTTAATATAATAATTTATATAAATACATGGTATCTATTGATGTAATACGGGAGGGGGGGTTGATCTCCCTACTTACCATAAGTCTCTTACATTTTAAAACACCCCCGTTAAATGAATCCTGGATACGCTACTGATCACATCTACAGCATACGCCTTTTAAGCCGCGGTCACAGGGTAATAGTAAAACGTGATAGTTTCTATCGACGCTATCACGATAGCTACTATCGCTATCACTATGATGTTCTCACCAAATTACGTGATACTGTGATAGTTTCATAACATGGTATTGTATTGTATAATGTATTGAGTACTCGTCTAATATGCTACCTACTGCTACTTCGTTGGTGTAGTATGCTACCTACCGTAAAATAATACCTACTAAAAACGTTTACTGATTAATAACAAATTTACACAATATTAATAACAGTTCATTACTGAATAGTTTATTAATTTATCGTTTTCGAATACTTAATAATATTTCAATACGTCATTCTAATAAATCGTGTTGGGTATTAATGGATGTCCACCATTCTTTTATTAATTGTCGGTCTAACAAATCTATCGCTCCTCAGGTTTGAATTCCGTATTTAGTTTTGACGTGTCTCCATATACACTCGACCGTTTGTGTTTGGGCACCCGTTGTAAGATCAACATAAAACTCGGAATGATTGATGGTTTCATGATGATAACCTATATCTTTTAAGGTACTATATGCTCGCTATTGATCTGAATAAATAATTGATCCTAGTTCTATTTCATTTTGTATTATTGGGAATGAAGTTGCCTTATCTCTTTTTCCCACTTTAAAAAAAATCTTCGTTCTATAACCCCATCAATATTTTTACAACACATACCAAAAATCCATGGACCTTGAATGCGAGTACCATAATTTTTTTGAGTCAAATGATCATTATCAATATTTTCAGCATCACTTGATACATTGTCATCTACATTTGGAATTATATCTCCATTTCTCAATCTTCTTCTAATATATTTACGCATGCCTTAAAATAGTGACTCGTCAATTTGAACAATTTTCCCTCGACCACCCATTTTCTTATGTTTATCAAACATTGCAACTGCTAAATCTTTACATAAATTATTTCAATCTACAATCATTGTATTATGAGTTTTTATTGTAAATTTTCTGGCCATTGAAACGGATATTTGATACACCCAATACCAAACTAATTCAACAATTTCATTTAATGCTAAACCACTATTACTTTTACCATTTTTATCGTAATATGTAAAAAAAGGATTTTTTTTTCTTAAAGAATGATAAGTTTGACAACCTTTTTTTTGACATCCTAAATAAGTAGTTTTTAATAAATCACCATTTGAGTCTCTTTAACGATTATTTTTTTAATATTCCTTCAACGTATCTCCACAAATAACACCATCGGTTAATTTGGAACAACTACTAAGTTCTGGGAGCAAGTTTCTCTCTTGATGATAATTAACACATGTTTCCTCATTACATATTATATGCCCGTACAAATAATGCATTAATTTATTTATTTTTGTTTATTTAAAAAAAAAAAAAAAAGTAAAACTCACGACGAATAGGACACTTATGCAAACACAACACAGACACGATATAGACTAAAATAATATATTTAACAGTAAGTTATCATGAGTCTTGGTGGATCAGATATCACAATGGCTATTAAGATATAATTTTGTACAAATGCTATAATATGTTATTTATCTTAATGACTCAAATGTACTTTCTTGTGATAAAATAAAATAAAATAAAAATAACTACGGTAGGTAGCATACTACACACATACAGTTTTTTGGTAGATACCATTTTATGATAGGTAGCATATTATACGTGTACCATGTATTGCATTGTATGTATAGTAATTGTAATTGTTTTTTGATAGCAAAAAATTATACTTTTTGAAGCTTTTTTATTTATTTTTATGAGTTTAAAATGTCATCTGAACAGATTGAGATTGCTATTATACAAATAATCTTAAATTTCTGATCTTCTGCCTCAATTCTTTGACAGAGTCAAGTCCTGTACTCTCAAGTAGTTTTTCTTCAGCAGAATCACGTTTATTTCTCAATTTGTATTCAGAATCACTTTTAAGCCAAAGGTACGGGAACCTTTGGTACTCTTCCAAAAATGTTTGAATATTAAATGTACTCTTATTCATTTTGATTTTAATTAATAAAAATAAATATAATTTGCACAAATAATAATAATATATATATATATACATATATGTATATGTATGTATAATAATAACGTGTAGTAGTGTGTTAGTGATAGAAATAACATCAAACTTTGGTAGTTCTCACGATGGTTATGACTATCATTCTCGTGATATTTACTATCCACTATCATGCACGTATGATAGTACGAGAGCCGCTATGATAATAGTTTGATAGTCACTATCGATTTGTTCACACAATGACAATTTTTCGATAGTATCTTTCACGATAGTAACTATCACGTTTTACTATCACCGTGTGACCGCGGCTTTAATAATATATTCGTAATTTTCGTTCGTCGATCGAGTCGTAGCAATAACACCACACTGTACATGTGAACGGTATGTGCTGGGTGTGCTCGAGGATGGATAAATCGAAAATTTCCACGATCCGCTTTGAGAAAAATAAATAAATGTACGTACTTAATCGTCATCCTAAATTGGACAAACGGAATATCAGGCGTAGGCGTTACCGCGAAGGACGTCATATTAATATTATTAATGTGTGGACGGG